ATTAAACATGTTTTACATAGGTGTGGTCATAATATATAAACAATTTTGCGGCACACGTTTTTCACTTAACATTTCCCCATGTTATCAAAACTTTGAAATAAATACCTGTTTTTAACAGTAATATCCACTACATGGCTATACTATAATTAATCAATCATTTTCCTCATGACAGACGTTTAGGTTGTATCCAATTTTTCAATATTTTTAAATAACGTAGGAGTAAACATCCTTGCCTATATTTTAAATTATTTCCTTAGCATAAATTCTTAGATGGAGAAGTATTAGGACAGAATATAGTACTTTAATGTTATTAATATATATATACCAAATTGATTTCAAAAAGTCTGTAAAAGGGGCCAGCCCAGCAGCACAGTGATTAAGTTTGTGTGCTCTACTTTGGTGCCCCAGGGTTCGCTAGTTTGGATCCCGGGCGTGGACCTATGCACTGCTCATCAAGCCATGCTGTGGCAGGTGTCCCACATATAAAGTAGAGGAAGATGGGCACAGATGTTAGCTCAGGGCCAGTCTTCCTCAGCAAAAAAAAAAAAAAAAAAAGGAGGATTGGCAGCAGTATTAGCTCAGGGCCAATCTTCCCCAGCAATAAAAGAGGAAGATTGGTGGTGGATGTTAGCTCAGGGCTTATCTCCCTCAAGGAAAAAAAGTCTGTACAAGCATATATTCTTATCAGCAACATAGGAGTGATATAATGATATTTTCTGCAACTCTGAACAGGAACATGTTAAAAATCTTTGTCAATTAAAAAGGATATTTCCATGCTGTTTTAACTTGCAGTACTTTGATAACTGGTAAGTTTATACATTTTTCATATGTTTATTGGCCATTTTTATTTCTTCATTTGTGAGTTATCTTGGTCCTTTGCTCATTTATTTATTATCCACAATATGATTAGCTTTTTTATTACAACAAGTAATACTTGTTCATTGTTAAAGTGTATTAGAAAAGGTTAATATTTATAGCGTTTTATAACCTACTCCTTAAAGAACTCAAACCAATACACTATGAATACCTTTCCATGTCAACCAGTATACATCTAAGCCATCAGTTTTGATGGCTGCATAATATTCCTTTGTATAGATTAACGAGAACCGTTTTCACCAATGTTCTGGACATGTAAAGTTTTGCCTAATGTTTCCGTATTAAAAATGGTGTGTGATGAATGTGGTGAACATCTGGTACGTTTATTTTGCACACTTTTCTGATCTTTAATATAGGTAAAGTCCTAAAAAATGGAATTATTTGGTCAAGAGGTACTGAGGTTTTTGGTATATACTATAAAGTTTCCCTTCAAAATGGTTATACTAATTTTCAGCCCCAACTACAGCATATGAGAGGGGTAATTTCATCATATCCTTACCAACGGTAAATATTATCATTCTTTTTCATCTGCAATCTGATAGGCAAAAAACAATGTCCCATTGTTATTTTAACTTGCATTTATTTAAACAAGAGTGAAGCTGAAGTTCATATGTGGGCTCATTGTGGTCGCTCAAGGTTCCATTGTCAAGTGCTGGTCCCTGTCCTTTGCCTTTCTATTGGGTTGTTGCCCTTTCTTCTATTGGGTTGTTTCATTGTAAGAGCTCTTTAAATATTAAGTATTTAGTATTAACCCTTTGTCAGTCACATGTCCCCATTTATCATTTTCCTTTTGACTTCATAAGAGGTGGTATAGGGAGAGGTTAAAAGCGTGGCCCCTGAGACAGACTGGCTCTGCCTCTCACCAGCTGTGATGGATGCTGTTTAGGTGCCCTGTTCAGATGCCCTTTACTGGCCAGTACACCCACCTTCCAGCTGCTGTGAGGTTGGCTACTAAGGATTACAGCTGCCCCTCTCTGGAGAATTTGTGTCAGAGGGAGCTGTCACACCTGGGGAAGTTACACCCCATCCTGATACAGGGGGACAAAAAGCCAGCATCCTTTTGTAAAGTGGGGACTAATTTTATGGTGTGATTATGCTCTAGACTCTAGAGCCTTCCCTCTATGAATCAGACCAAGGTGAAAATTTCTTAAGATCCATTCTTGCTCAGCTCTTTTCTCTTCTCTATTCTGCTTCTCTCCTTTCCTTACAGATTCCTCCTGAGGAGCCCTGCCTCAATAATCAGGTGGATCTGAATCCCTGTCTCAGGATCTTCATCTAGGGAAAGCAAGCCAAGATTCTGTAAAATGGGGATGATATTAGTACCTACTTTATAGAGTTGTTGTGAAGATTAAATAATAATTAAAATAATAGTAATAGAAAAAATTATCTAGCACTTACTATGTACTAGACGCTGTCCTAAGCACTCTACATGTATTAATTCATTTATTTCTTATATCAGTCAGTGTCCAGGTGTAATCTTCAAACTATACAGTGCTTGGGACAGTCCTGGTGCATATTTAGCACCAATAAATCTTAGCTACCATTATTTATTGGTTCACTCCACATTTCAAATGAAAGAATAAGCCTGTTAACAGCCTGTTTCCCCTGAATTTTGAAGTCTCCCTCTCATGCCCCTTTTCTTTGGTAATCCTTTGGAAAGCTCCTACCCCCTAATTTTTTCCCTCTCGTATTCCAAAAGGCGGAGCTGCCAAGTCCACAGTCTTGCTGAGGTTCCTTTACACTTGATCTTCCTTTTTTCAGTCAAGGGAACACTATAATTCTCTGATAGGGAAGGAAAGCAACAGGTGTTATCTCCTTGGTTATTCAAATTTGCCTTGACTCAATGGGGTCATTTATAATTCAGAGAAAAGTCCAGCCACGCTGGCTTTATCTTTAAAAAGAAAAGCTAAGCTTGGTCTATCCTACCAACCCTGCCCTCTCATTGCTCTCTCCCTACTCCATGGCATCGGAAAATGGTCAAGGAAGCCTGTCAGCAGTGTCAACACCATGGAGTTTCACCTCGTATTGCGGAAATGGTGTGGTAAAAACTCTACTGCTGTGTCTCTTGCACCGAGCAAAGTGTTTGGCACATAATAGGCATTTAAACATGTGTTCTTGAACAGATGAATGTGTGAATTCACAAGGCAAGAAAAAGTAGCGACATCAGTTAAAAGTTGTTGGTATTTATCCATGACTATTTTGTTATCTATTTTTACAGTTGTTTATATTTACAATTGACCACTTAATAATATCACTGTTTCCTCCCTACATCTTTAATCATCCATGTAAGACCATTTTCTTTCTTCTTGAAGGAGAACCTTTATAATTTTAGTTAGTGAGGGTCTGTGGTGGCAAAATCAGTTTTTCTTTCCCTGAAAATGCCTTTATTTCACTCTCATTTTTGAAAGACATTTCCACTGGATAAATAATTGTAGGTTGACAGTCATCTTCTCTGAGCACATCAAAGATATTATTCTTCTAGTTTACTTTTTTTTTTTCTTGAGGAAGATGAGCCCTGAGCTAACATCTGTGCCATTCCTCCTCTAACTTGTATATGGGATGCCTCCACAGTGTGGCTGACGAGTGGATCAGGTCCACACCTGGGATCCAAACCCACAAACCTGGGCCACCAAAGTGCAGAGCATGGAACTTTAACTACTTGGCCACAGGGCTGGCCCCAGGTTTATGTTTTTGCAGTTGCTAAGTCACCTGCCAGTCTAATTGTTCCATTGGAGGTAATCAGCCTTTTCTCTCTCACTGGTTTTAACTATTATTTCTCTGTTTTTGCTGCTCTTCATTTTTATTATTTTATGTCTAGGTGTAAATTTCTTTTTTCCTTTCTTCTTTATAAAAATCCTGCTTAAAGTATTGTCTGATTCTCTTCTCATCTCAGAATTCTGATTGGACATGTGTTAGAGCATCTCACTCTATCCTCCATGTTTATCTTTTATGTGAAAAAACTACTTCAGTTTTCTCTTCCAGTTTGCTAGTTCTCTCTTCAGCTGTGTCTATCTACTGTTAAACCTGTCCATTGAATTTTAAATTCCAATTATTACATTTTCTTCAAGACTAGAAATTTTATTGGATTCTTTTTTAAACCTGCCTGTTCATTTTTTGCAGAATTTTGGCCTTTATTTTCATTTTCAATCTTTTATTTCTTTAAATATATCAAACATATTTATAATTTACAACTGATAATTCTTGTTTCAATGTCTCTATGAGTTTGATTCTGTTATCTGTGTTTTCTGCTAATTCTTGCACAAGATGCCTTGTTTTTTTGTATGATTTGAGATTTGTGAAAGTTCACATTTCTTGGAACATTTTCTGTGGAAATCTTTGGGGTCTGGGTTAAGTTGGTGTCTTAGTCAACTTGGGCTGACAAAATAGCATAAACTGGATTGCTTAAACAAAACATTTATTTCTCGCAGTTCTGGAGGTTGGGAAGTTCAAGGTCAAGGTGGCTGCAGATCCAGTGTCTGCTTCACAGAGGGCCACCTTCTTGCTGTATCTTCACATGGTGGAAGGGGCAAGGTTTCTCCCTGGCATCTCTTTTATAGGGGCACTAATCCCATTCATGAATGCTCCACCTCATGACCTAATCACTTCCCGAAGGTCCTATCTCCAAATACCATCACATTGAGGATTAGGTTTAAACATGTGAATTTGGGGGGAACACAAACATTCAGCCTATAACAGTAATTTTCTTCCCTAGTTTTTCTTCTGCAAAATTCTAAATTTTTGGAAAAGGTAAAAGAATAATACATGAATAGTATAGTACAAGAATAGTGTATATATGCTATATATATATCTTCATCTAAATCCAATTGTTAATATTTGGTTTGTATTTCTCTCTTTCTTTCTGTCTTTTGCCGAACCATTTGAATATAAGTTGCAAAAGTCATGGTTCTTTACCCTTAAACAGTTCAGCTTGCATTTCCTAAAAATAAAGAAATTCTATATAACTGTAATTCCATTTCACATCTAAGAAAATTAACAGTAATTCAATAATGTCACCTAATATACAGTCTATATTCAAATTTCCCCAATTGTTCCTTAAATGTCTTTTGTAGTCTCTCTCTCTCTTTCTCTCTCTCTGATGCAGGACTTCGTCAAGATTCACATACCTTTTTTGCTTTGTTTTTCATGACAACGACATTTATGAAGAGTCCGGCCTAGACTTCTTGTAGAATATCTCAAATTCTGGATCTGTTTCAGAGGGCTCTTTTAAAAAATATAAATCAGATGAAGTTAGTCCTATGTTTAAAATGTTCCACTGGCTACTACAACATTCAGAAAATAAGGCCTAAACTCATTACCCTGGCTTACAGAGGCCCACGTGATCTGGTATGACTTCATCTTGTACTTTTTCTCTCCCTCACTTTGCTTAAGCCACAGTGGCCTTCTTCCAGTTTCTCAAACCCACAAAGCTTGTCCTCACAGGACTTTGCGTTAGTTGTTTCCTTTGCCTACTGCGCTCTTCCCTGAGCTTTGCTTGAAGGCTGGCTCTTTCTTGTAATGCAAATCTCAGATTGATACCATTTTCTCAGAGAGGGCTTTCTTACCTTGACCCTCAGTCTAAAGCAGTCATTCAGTCACCCACTCTCACATCATCCTCCTTTGAGTTCTCTGCATGGTACCTATCACAACCTGATATTTTCCTTGTCATTTATTTTTATTGAACTTCATGACAGCCGGGGGTGTGTTCTGTCTTGCTCGCCACTATATTCCCAGCACCCAGATCAGTTTCTGACACATAGCAGAAACTTAATAAATACTTGCTGAATACTGTAATGAATAAGCTGAAAGCTGGAGGATGAAAAGAAGCCAGCTATTTAAAGAGCTTGGGGAAAAAAATCTAAGCAGAGGGAACTGCCAGGGAGAAGGCCCTGAGGCTTGGTCTAATCCAAGACCGGAGGAGTGTCTTGTGTACTTGGAGGGAAGTGAGCCAGCAGGAGAGAAATAAAGGAAAGTAGAGAGGTGGGCAGGGCAAGATGACTTAGGGCTCTGACAGCCATGGTAAGGAATTTAGGTTTTATTTTAAATCAAATGAGAAGTCACGGAAGATTTTCAAGTAGAATGACATATCTGATTTTTGCCTTTTAAAAGATAATTTAACTTGAGTAATTGGGAAGATGGAGATTAATGTCAATGATAGAAAGTGACTGCAAGAGAAGATTTGCAGGGAGGAAATAATGATTCATTTTGGACATGTTGAATTTGATATGTTGTACTTCCTTTGTGGCTTTCATATGAACACCCAAAAAAGAATTTATGATTAAGAAAGAATGATAATATCTACCCCTGAAATAATACAGCCAGCTAATTCAGTTTTTGTTTGTAAGAACCTGATACTCAAGGTAGTCGTTGATAATAACGCTAATAGGTACCATTTATCGAGCAGTCAGGCGCTATGTTAACCACTCAATATTGACCTCACTGAAGCATCACAACCGCCCTTATTAGAAGAGGGTTTATTATCTGTATTTTACAGTTGAGGAAACTAAGTCTAAAGAGGATCAGTAACTGGTTCAACGTCAATTAGACAGTAAGTGGCAGAGATGGACTCAAAATCCAGGTCTAGTTGGATGCCAAAGCTATTTTAACCAATTTGCCGTAACACGTTCCCAATAGAAGTGCTGCGTGGATCACGGGTTGTGGCCATCATTCAGAGAGAGACTGAAACCGAGGTTTTCTTTCACATATCCTTAAGCCCGTAGAAACACTTAAATTTCATTTCAGCGGAGAAATACCTATTTGAGAAACACTCTAATAGAACTCATCAGATTCTTCAGCCCAGAGAGACTATAGCCTTGGAATTTTTGAGGACAGCTGAAACTTATTTTTCTGGTTGACTTGATATGGAGAGAAAGTGAATGGAAATAAGACTTATTCTTCCAAGTGTATTTGGAATGTAGCTGCCTGAAACTGAGTCAAACAGCTCCCCGGTTTTCCTGGGAACCAGCGATTCTGCAGTCAACAGAAGTTTGCTTTTTTAACAGCTGGAAACGCCAGAGTTGTGACAGCGCCGAGAACTGAGGCTGCCTTGTTCGGACTTCACACGGGGCTCTCTGTTCCCTGCACAGAGCCCGCTTTCTTACACACCCCGCACACGCCGCTGGGGACCCTCCTTCTCTACGCCGGGACCCAGCCTTAAGGGCGGGGGTCACCGGTTTGGGGCTCCCGTCTTTTCAAGGGGTCCGGGCAAGAGCCCCTCTGAAGAACTCTTTCTGGACGGTATTTATCGCTCCACCCTTCCCTGTCTGAAGAAGAAATAAGAGGACAGGAGAGAAACTTCAATTTGGTGGTGGAGGGCAGATCCCAGAGGACCGAGTCACCGAAGGTCCCCCTCAGCCTGACACGACGCAGTCCCCACCCACCCAGGCGGCGGAGGCCGCGCGCAGACGGCGGCCCCGCCCCGCCCCCCGCGCCGGCCATTGGCGGGTCCGAAAGTCGCGGGGCGGTGTTGGTTTGAACGGGAGCGCCTGGAGCTGGGGCGCAGGCGCAGAGGAGGGAAGCGGCCGCGAGCGGGCGGCGCGGCGGACCCCTGGTCGGCAGTGGGACGCGCCCGGGGGAGAGGAGTCCCGGGAGCTCTGGCCCACGTGACCTGCCGGGGGCCGGGTCAGGGGGCGCGCGCCGGCCTCCCGCGGTGCCCCTGCCTGGCGCGGCGTCCGCGGCGCGCTGAGCCGCCGGCTGGAGGGGCCGCCGCCACCCGCCCGTCGCCCGAGGCGGCCGCTGCTGCAGCTCCGCCGCGTCCTCCGCGCTCCCCGGACTCGCCGGCCCGCGGGAGGTGAGTGCCGAGGGGCGTTTGAGGGCGCCCGCGGCGGGGGGTGACAGGGAGGGGGCGTGTGTGTGCGTGTGAGGGGTGAGCTTTGTGTCCGGGGTCTGGGGACGACCGCCTTTGTTCGGGGCGGGAGGAGCCGGGGCGGTCGGCGGGGACCGGCGCGGCGGGGACGCGGGTGAGAAACCAGAAACTCGGTGAGGAGCGGCTCCGTCCCAGACGAGCGTTCAGTTGCTTTCTGGTTGGAGGTTTTAAAATGACACCGAAGCTTAAGAACTTTGTTCCCTAATATTTTCTTAATAAAAAGTATGTCGGGATACAGTGACTTCTCACGTATTCTGAATGGGAGAAACAACCCTGAAAAATCCGAATCCCCGTGGAATTGGATCCCGGGCAGATTGCATTCGCTTGCAGTCGTGCGCTTGCCGTCTAAACCGGGCAGCTTTTGTCAAACACCTGCGTTTACCACGTTTAAATTCAGAACCTTTTGGGCACCAACCTGTCGATTTACCGTAGAAATCGGTAGTTGCCGCAAGAAGTTTTCGTAAGCATAGAATGTTAAGAAAGCTCTTTTCTGAAAACCCGTAGAATATCTTCGGATAGTAAAAAGTGGAAAATCTGTAGTTTCCTTGTTTTATCTTGATCGTTTTAACTAGTATCATTTGAACTCGGTTAATGCAAACGAGTAAGGATGGAAATTTTATTTGCCTTAATGCATAATTTAACCCTGCCGTGGAATTAAGCGAAGTAGGCTCCTGCCTCTGCCTTCCGTCGGCTTGTGTTGGCGTGTCCCGTGGTGTGTGTGGGAAGTCAGCATACCGACCGAGCTGAACTTTCAAGTTGCCACTTGAGAAGGGTGCACGGAAGATTTCCGGCCTGATAGCCACAGTGCGATTACCTCTGATAAATACCACTCCTGCGTGAGCTGTCACTTTTCAAGAAGCAGCTTTGGTTGATTGTTTGGAAGTGAGCAAGCGACCGATCACTGTTGGTTGACATGCATGTGTGTGAGGAGTGGGGGCTCGGGGGACGAGGGACAGTCTCACTCCTACTCTTCCTTACCCCTTCCGTGGATTCGTCTGGCAAGCGCTTTCTCAGGCTGTTGTTTATAATGTTAGGAGTGGAGCGGATACAAAGTACAAAGTTGCGCGATATTGTTGTCGGGGCATTTTCCCCCCAATCCTCTTTAGCTAGATAAGCAGTTGAGGTGTATTTTCTTCTGTTATTCAATCAGACATGCAGTGTTACAGTATTATTGCTTAATATAAATCTCAGACTTGGTACTAGGCTAATTGCAACAAAGATAGGATATAGTAGCTTTTTAAATGGCCTTTTTCTTAAGGATAAAGTATTTCCAAGATTTACCTAAAAGATAAAATTTTGTAATTACTTCTCTGGAATTTTAAAATGGAAAACCTGGCATAGATTTAGACTTCTAAATCTATTCTAATAGACATGTTCTTTTTTATAATAATAACAATAGCTATTATTATTGTTACTATACTTTATTGAGTACTTTTAAGTACCAGAGCCAGGCATTGAGTTAGGTGCTTTATGAATCAGATCTCTAATCATCACAACACATGTCGGGTAAGTATCATTGTGCCCAAACCAACTCTGAGAGTTTAACTCGCTCAAGATCATGTAACTAAGTCACTGTGCTGGGATTCAAACCATGGCCAGATCCCAAAGCACATGCTGTATCGCTTCGGTGTTTACTTAAATCTCCTCCAGGTCTCTGGATTCCATTTGTGGGGACATAATCCTACTTTTAAGATGCCTGTAGGTGCTGTGTTTTGTTGTGAACTATGCAGAAACATTCCAGTCCTTATTTCAGAACTTCTTTCTTTCCTTCAATACCTTATAAATTACATAACAATTTCAATATCCTTTTAATCATCTTTATAAAAACAGTAAAAAATTAAGAATAAGACTTTCCTGAGTTATTTACATGAATATGAATGTACTCTTTACTGTGGAGCAGAAATGTATTAAGGTCTGGTTTTCTCACTATTATAGGATTCTTTGCTGCTTCATAGTTTTTATCTTCTTCCCAAGCAAGAAATCAAAAAAAGTTTGCTGGACATCAATTATATGCAAAGCCATTTCCTTGGTAGTGTAAGATGGCACTAGAAGGCTTCCTATTCAATAGTTGCTTCCGGAGTTTTTACAGTATTTTTCATCTGTCTCCTTGTCCTGCACTATGTGTTGCTACCAGATTATCTTCCTGACACGGGTTCAACTTTGCTGTTCCTTTGTTCAAAAATTATGAGGCTCCCCATTATGTGAATACAAGGCTGAATATGTGCTTCAGCCACATATGTATTCAGAGTCCCTCACAATTTAGTGCCCCCTTAGACTGCTCTTTCCCAACTCCCGACCCAATGGGCTTTTCCTGGCCCACATTCTGTGCATCCCCACCTCCTTGCTTCTGCTTGAGCCATTTCCCCGTGCTGGAATGGCTTTTCTCCGTTTGCCTAATAAGGTCTACCCATCCTTCAAGGTGCAGTGCAGATTTCCTTGCTTCCCAAAAGCTTTGCTTGGCCCTTTTTACTTAGAATTATTCTTCCCATATCTTCTCATAACATTACTGCATTGAATAGAAACATTTTTCCACAGAATGGTGATAACTTTTAGAAGGGGAAGATAGAGTTATGTTTTCCTATGAAGAATTCTAAATTCAAAGTCTCTAGGGATACTCTTTAGGCATTTATAATCCTTTTGCATTTGGGATTTATTTCTGCTTAAAAATGTATTTGAAACCAATTTTGCCTTTTTAAAGTCCTTCTTTTAAGAGAACTGGTTTATTGTCATTTACTAAGTCAAGAACAATGCTCAGTAGAAAGGACCACTTCTTTTCTACTTCACTGCTGAGTTTTTCATCTATGTATTAACTGATTTAAGCTGATGGCTGACCAGCATCAGTAGTAAGTGGCTGTGGTTCCTATTCTCTGGTGACTTGGTAACCAGTTTTTCTTGAAGTTGTATTCTCCCCATTGTTTATTAATAAGTATTTTTTTTTCTGGCATAGTAATGTCTTCGTAAGACTGTATATTTTGAATTTACTTCTTTGAGCTCCTATTAATTGCATCATGTTTGTCCAATAATTTGTATAGACCCTAAAAAAATAAACATATATTTATTAACAAAACATTACAGATCGAAAAGGGCAAGGACAAATATATATATTTAGGGGGTTTTTGTAGAAATTGGGCTTAGTGTGAATCATCAGTGTTTTTGGATTATAAACATTTTCTTGTGCTCTCCTGGTCTTATAACCTGAGTAGTCATTTGGAAAGGACTGAAAATATAATTGGGGTTGTTTAAAATTTAGAAGTCTTTTTTTTTTAAAGTCATCATTGTGTTTTCTATAACCTCAGTATTATAATACTTATATGCATCCAATTTTATGTGTTTATAATAAACTAGAAATCGTTTTTCTTATGCAAGTGTCTAATTGAAACTCTTTCAACAGGTTATTAATTTTACTAATGGATTAAAAGGACCATCTCTGTTTAAAATTATAGGAGGGAAAATGAACGTTATTTGTAAACTCTGGGCTTCAGTTTGATGAGAAATAAAACCACGTTTTAGGGAGAAAAATACTAATTTTGTTCTAATGAACATATATAAGATCTTTGTCCTTTAGTCAAACATATTTATAGTCTTAAATATAAATAAGTAATCTTGTTGGAGTAGGAGTTTTGATTTGGTAACTGCTTTGCAGGGAAAAAGGTAACCAAGATTAGGGATGTTGCATAAAAGTAATCTTCCTTTTGTCCTTGAAATTTTTAAGCAACTGCTTCATGCTGTATTGAATTATTGTAGTCACTGAGTATTCTAATTATAAAACAACAGTTTTAATGATTAGTGTAGTAACTGGCATAATGCACATTGATTCCATGTATAACCTAAAAATAGAGCCCCTTTCTAGTTTATCACCCTCCAAAAAAATGTTCAATATTCAACTTCTTCCTGATTTATCCTGGGCTACCAAACCTTAGGACATTGCGAGGCTGCTGGTGTAGTAATTATTATAGCCATAGTGCTTTGTGTAGAGACTGTTGGAAACTACTGTTGAACTACAAGCATTCAGCATCTCTCACCTAAGTAGACTCATACATTTGGTCCTTTCTCACTGCTTAACAACACTGCTAAGATGAAGGCTTGAAATATTCAAATCTTTCTCCTAGGTTACATTTTATTTTAGGATTTATCTAATTTGAAATTTCATATGTAGCTTTTATTAGTGTTTTGGTTGTCCAGGGAGCGTAATTCATTGAAGTCCTTTAGCTTTATGTGATGGATAAATTATATATGTTCCTCACCAAAAAAAAGGAAGTTTATATATAGTTTACTTGTTTAGAATGGTGAGCTTTTAGGTGTAAGCATTTGAAAACATGAAAAGGCATTCTTATTTTTTATTACTAAAATTATTTTTGGCTTATTTTACTCTGAAATGGTTCCATTCATTGTGTTACATTTTTAATGTTCACAGCTCTGGACCCGAGTCGTTTTTTTTTAAAGCTGCCAAGAATAAAAGTGAGAGTTTGAAATTGATAGTGCCTTGGTATGTATTTGATATCTTTTATAATGAC